GGTACCTCTTGAAGTGGTTGAGTACCAACCAATTCTTTTTAGTGCAGTGACTCTGTGCATTCCTTCTATCTTCTTTTAATGCTTTCTACATAATCATTCAATATTTTGCCCATAGAATATTTCAGTATTGCAAGTTAGGGTTTGAATTTTTCCTTCAGTTTTTCCAGCCTGAGAAATACTAAGCGAGTTCTTCCCTTTTGGTTTTCTAACTTCAGGTCTTTGCACATTTCACTGTAATACTTTACTTTGTCTTCTTGGGCTAGCCTTTGAAATTTTCTCTTCAGCTCTTTTACTTCATCAATTTCTTCCAGTCACTTTAGCTCCTCTATGTCCAGGATAAATTTCAGAGTCTTTTCTGACTTCCATTGTGGTCTTTTCATTCTTTCCTATCTTTTTAATGACCTTTTTTTGCTTTCTTTATGTTTGATGCTCTTCTTGTCATCCCACACTCTTCTGGTCTTTGGTCATTTGTGTCTAATGCATCAGTTTTGCTCTTGAATGGTCTCTAAATTCAGGTGGAATATACTCAATGTCATATTTGAATCTCTTGGAGTTGTTTTAATTTTCTTCAGTTTCAGTCTGAATTTGCATATGAGCAATTAGTGGTCTGAGCCATAGTTGGCATTGGCCTTGTTTTAGCTGATGATATTGAGCTTCTCTATCATTTTTTCCCACGGATGTACTCAGTTTGATTCCTGTGTGTTCCATCTGGTGAAATCCACATATATAGTCACCTTTTATATTATTGAAAAAAGGTATTTACAATAAATAAGTCATTGGGTCTTGTAAATTTTTAACATGTGATCTCCAGCATCATTTCTATCACCAGACTGTGTTTTTCAACTACTAATCTTTCCTCTTTGTTTTCACCATTTGCATTCCAATCACCAGTAATTATCAGTGAGTCTTGATTGCATGTTAATCAATTTCATACAAATGAGTCATGTACTTGTTGAGAGTACCTCTGTGAATTAACTCAGAGATGGCAGGCCCTCTAGACTCATATGGTTGCCTGCAGTGGGCAGCTTGTATTTCAGAAAAGTTCTTTCTCAGTAAGTATATGTATCATTAATATGTTCTGTTCCATGGCAAAGGTTAAAAGAAAATAGACTTTACAACTGGTTTGAATTGTTTAAATAATATATGATCTGGAAAGTGTCCATATGGAGAGTTAGGAGGAAATTTTTATTACTAAATCTTACACTGAAGAATCAGATAAAATATTGAAGGGACATCAGTTTTATCACAGTGTTCAAATTAATTCTTCAATGTAGATAGAGTTAATTATTTGAGACAATCTAGAGGTCTGCAGTACAAACCCACAAGCTACCTGCAGGAGAAAAATACTTCTGTAAAAATTGTAAAATTACTTCTAAAAAATTGTTTCTGTAAAAATGTATAGTCTTGAAAACCCTGTGAGGCAGTTCTACTCTTGTCCTATAGGATCATTGTGAGTCCGAATCAACTAGATGGCAGTGGGTTAGTATAATATATTCTGGGTCATTAGAGGTTGAAGTTACTTGTATGATTGCTATCTTATGTTATAGAAGTTTGCTGTTTTGTTTCGCTTTGTTTTTATTCAGTTATGCAGAGTATTAAAGTGTATGGTAAACTTGACTGAGAATACGAGATAATATATTCATTCTCCTGGCTTTACTGATGACTCCCAAATTTATGTCTCCAGTCTGACTTCACTGAACGTAAGGCAGTGAGCTTCAAAGAGTTCATTAAAAAAATGGAATGAAAAAATAATGGCTAAGGCTCAATGGGAATACATGAGCAGACATGAGCTCTGATTGGTAATCACATTTGTCATAAGGGGAAGTGACGGAAAAACAGCAACAAAGCTGCAAGCTAAGCCCCATAATGTTCAATAGACTCCTGTGAACACTGGTGGAGATTTGATTGGCCAGCAGTGTAGCAAGACCTGGGGACTCTTGGGCCCAGAGTCATTGTCATAGCCACAGAGGACTAGAATGGAGAGTGAAGCGTCCAGCTGATAAGAAGAGAGGGCATATATACAAGAACACACACACTAGCAGATAATATCCACTCGACCTGGCTTCAATGACTGGATGATCAGAACTCAAATAGAAGA